ACGCTGAAATGACGCTGCTTTAGGGCCAGTGTGATAACGTCCAAAGTATTGTCCTCACTCTGATTTCATTTCAGAGTGAGCAGCCAATTGAATTTGTCTATGTAATGAGAGCATTTTGAAACAAATATTAGAACCTTCTGAATCGTGCTTTTTTGTTGATATGACTTCTTTATGTGAACTATAGCATTTTTCAGATTCAGACATTGCCTTCTATTGAAGGTGAGCCTATAAAGTAATCATGTTTATGAACATTTCCGGTATGACTTACATATCCAGTTATTTTGCCCTCACTATCCTTGATTCTGGGCAGGTCAGTTCCACTGGCAAGGTCTCATCAGTCGAAGATTGATACAGGTAAGAGCAGACCAGAAGGCAAGGGGAGTCCAGAAACAGAAACAGAAGACGGAAATAGAGATCAGAGTCTTACCATCAAGTCAGGGAAATCATATGGAACAGAGCCAGAGTCAGGTAGTAACTCAGAGTTCAAAACCAGTCCAGTTCATACAACAACCAGGTAAGAGTTGTCCAAGAGCTCAGTCAAATGCAAAGCAAAATCTGTTGTTGCTGTTGTTGTGTACCTTCAAGTCATTTCCGATTTATGGCGACCCTAAGGTGAACCTATCATGGGGTTTTCTTGGCAAGTTTCTTCAGAGATGGTTTGCCATGGTCATCCCCTGGGGCTGAGAGAGTGTGACTTGCCCAAGGTCACCCAATGGGTTTACATGGCCAAGCTGGGATTCCAACCCTGGTCTCCAGAGCCCTGACAAACCAACTACAATGCACAAGAGGCAAGGAATGCAGGAAGAGCTAACAGTAATAAATATTGCCTCCAACCCCATTGCTAGCCAAGGCTTTAGGCTTATATTGATGAGACTAGACCCTACTCAGAGTTCAGAAATGTAGACATTTCAGCAGGTGGCATCTCTAGGATGAGGATCCTTCCTGCAAGGAGACCCCTTACTTCTGAGAAAGCCCCTCTTCTCAAAGAAACCTGCCTTATACATGCACACTTCACCTTCTACCCCTGAGCTTAGTCATACCTCCATTTTCTAGGTGAAACCCTAAGAGGATGACACCCCTGCTCCCTGAATATCTGCCTTTTGGCAGAAATGGGTTGTGGCATTCGCCCACATCCCTTTAAAATTCTGGAAATGGTTGAGTGGAGCAATATAACTAGATATGTAAATCATAATTTTTTTTAAATCTAAAATTTCTTTAAAAACATTGCTTCTTACCAAATTTTCAATTTAAGCACATGAAAACAATATATATGTAAATCCATGTAGGCTGTCCAAATGCTATTGTAATTCAAAGGTATAATTTTAATTTTGCTAGTTGATTTTTGTCATAACTACTACCATTACGTTCAGTGATATATGGGGATTGCGATTTATGAGTAACATTAGTCCAAAAAACATTTCTAAAGATTCTGTATGGTGTTGTATGGGAAGAGGTCAATGGAGGGGGGGGGGTTGACACCATGAGTTACTGCACCGGGTGATGCCAACTCTAGCGATGCCACAGAAAAGGGGTCCTATCTCCTCTTGGCTCTGACTCCAGAGCTTCTGGGAGTGCAGCCTCCTGTATCTCTAAGGATTCAAGGGATGCCAGGGCAGTTGGCTGCTAACTATATTCAGATTCAGGGTGTTCACATTCATCCTTACTGGAGGAGTCTTCAAAGGGCAGCATGACAACCACTGGTATACTTATATTGTCAAATCCATTTGGATACGGACTGTTTTGATCTCCTTCTGTTGATTGAATCATGCCTGGCTAGCAATGCACATGTGATTTGCCCAGGCAAGGGGAACACACGCAAGCTACCGTACATGTTTGTTGGAGGAAAATTATAACCCATCAAAAGTGCTACCTTTGTTCTGAAAACTGAGGCTTGAGAAGATTCGGCTTCAGTTTCTTCACACAGTGCTAATGTATAGTGTCTAGGAAGTATAGTGTCACAGAGCATGGCACAGAACAGCCTTCTCCAATATGGGACCCTCCAGATATGTTGGACCACAACTCACACCATCGCCAGTTAACATGTCAAATGGGGAGATAGAATTGTATCCAAGACATCTGGAGAGATCCAGATTAGGGAAGGTTATTGTAGAGCATGGTTGAGGCAAAATGCAGTCTTCCAGATGTTGTTGGACACAAATTCTATCATCTCTAACCAGCATAGCCAATGACACTGGTAGTTGCACTCCAACAACATTTATTCTTTCTATCTATCTATCTATCTATCTATCTATCTATCTATCTATCTATCAATAAATACCCTGCCTTTTCTCCATCTAGGAACCCAAGGCATCTTACAAGATTTGGTTTACAACAAGGAATTGGCTAGAATATACATTACAAAAGCTAAAAAGCCATTAAACAACACAACTAACATAAAACAAACAGCTAAAATGTTAGAATTTGGGGGATCCACTGTATTCCTTCCCTAAGAAAATACTATTAAATCCATGGGGTCATCATAAGTCCACAGGCAACGTGAAAGCACATGCTCACACACAAAATACAACTGGTTTGTGCATAGAGGAAGGGGAAAACGTATGGGTGTTTGAAAGGTTGTGAGGGAATTCCTACTAATCTCTAGCTTGGGAAGAAGCAAATCCAGGATAGAAAGTGAATCACAGAGTGACAATTTGGGCTGCAGGTTGAAGTTCACTAGATCTCTATTTTTGAGATTCCTGATGGATACTGTTATTAGTATTCCACAGTCATCTAAACCTTTAATTTTTAAGTTTTCCTTATCTCTGCCGAAAGAATGGGACTTCTTGATTCTTTTGAATTTTTGAATTGCTCTTTTCTTTTCTTTTTCTTTGTTAAAGCACATGATGGAAATATATTGGCCAAGCTGCAAACTTCTAACATTTCCAAAGTTTGTGGCACTTCACTCTAGGGCTTTGGACTTCTAACACTTCAAAAGTTTGGGGCACTTTGCTCTAGGGCTTTGGTTTGGTTCCCTCTGTTGTATGCCCCTTCCTCTTTCCTGTCGATGTTTGCTGTGTTCTCAGAGTCAAAGCAAGATGCTTTCTAGGCATGCTGGAGGCCATGTAGCTTTAATCACTGGTAAAATAACATTGAAATACACCTCCTGCTGTTTGGTGATGTTAATAAAACATACGTTCTGGTATGTGTTTGCTGCCCATTCACCTTTGTTTCTTCAGTATTTCCTTAGACGATTGTATGTTTCCTATTTTGGAACTGATCACGGAATTGGTATTCCAAAGAAATGCTCAAAGATATACTGGGAGTGGTGTGGTCTCATGTAGCTGAGACCTTATCACTGCATCTGATAATGATTCTCTATGTTTCTACCCAAGTTTTAGCCACGACTAGGAACTAGGACTAGGAATGGATAATGGAGTGCAGCAAAGAATTTCAAATGAAAACCACCCCTGTGCTTTATAGATTATAGCAAAGTCTTTGATTATATCGATCATTGTATAAATCATGAAAAACTATTGGTTGCTCTTAAAGAAATGGGTGTGCCATGACATTTGGTTGTCCATACCAGCAAGACAAGAGGACAAGGACAAGAGGCTTCCATCAGAACAGAATATGGAGATACCGGGACACATGTGGCCAAGCAACATCAAATGTGGTCAAGAGGGCATAATAATAATAATAAGAAGAAGAAGAAGAAAGAAAGAACAGAGAAGCTAAGAGAGGCTGCAGCCATTCCCTTTTGTTTAAGTATTTAGAGAAAGGCAAGATTCTGCCCTCTCTTATCCTCTTTCCCAGTTGAATTAATTGAGTGCAAACTATTTTTGCACTTTGAACTCAGTTTGCAGCAGTGGAAGTAAGCCAGAGACAAAGGGGGAAAGTGGGAGGAGGTGAGAGAAACTGGGACATTTTGAAAGCAGCTGAAGAAGTGGGATGACAAAGGATTAATCATGAATATCCTACCAAATCCAGACAGTTGGAGGATATGCTTGAAGGCACATACAGAGATATGCATGTTATCATCTTTCATTGATCCTTACAACTAGAGCTTGGAAAAGTTACTTTCTTTCTGTCTCCTAAATCTTTCCAGACAGTCTAGTCTGGCCATGTTGGTTGGGAATTTGAGAAGCTTTAGTTAAAAAGTCATGTTTCCAAGTTCTGCAACAGCTGTGTATGTGAAAGAGAGATAAAGAGAAAGAGACAGTTTTAAGTAAGTTCACCCAGTGGTTAACTGGAGATTTAACATCAGATTTGTGCAACTGGAGATTGAAACCCAGGTTTTCCCCAACGATGTCTGAAAGCAGATGGCAGGATAAAGCCAGCTCATCACCTCAGGTTTTCCAATTTGCAGGAAGAATACATTCAGAGAAGATGCCAGCCACAGATGCAAGCAAAACATCAGGAATACATTTATCTAGAACATGGCCTCACAGACTGAAAAATCCACAAAAACCTATGGATGCCGGCCGTGAAAGCCTTCAACTTCACATTTTCTCCAGTACGTCATACTGCCAGAAATCTCTCTTTTTGAGATATCTATCTGCATCTTTTATGAACAGTTTGCTGCACTGTGCTATTATTTGTTCCATTGGGCTTAATTGAAACTATTTTATTTGCTGAGGGAAACCACAGAAAAGCCTCTCCATAGTGTTGACCC